GTTTTTCTTGACTGATTTCCTAATATAATAGAAGGTTATTCTCATAAGGAGTTTCTGTATTGATTGCTTAAGTTGAATTGAGGAGTTTGTAAGACGTATTTATTTAGTTCTTAGATTGACGATTCTCTTTTAGTGAATGGGCAGTGGCTATTTTTTTGTCCTGCGTACAATTTATCCCAAGAGCAGCCTTTTACTTAAGGTTAAATTAATTATGTTGCTATCGTATTAAAAACCCAGGCTGCTTGTGTGTATTAATAATTTTGAGGGCAGGTTGTACGGCTTTGGGGTTTAACAATGAATAATCTGGATTTACATTTGCTGCATATAGATTTCAAAATCTACGAACTCTTCTTATTAATCCAAGTTACTCTTCATAAGTATTGCAGCAGCATTTTTCATATTCAGAGAGAGTTGACTTCTTTTCTAGTATTTATTTTGAAGGGGTTTTTAGAATATGGCTTTTAAAATTCTCAATGTTTGTGAACTGCTGCATTATGGTCTTCAAAGATATAAGAATTTGTTTCTATGATTTCCTAGATCACGTTTAGTTGTGTGTGGGAAGGGATTGAGTTCATAAGATTTTAGTTAATTGATGTAAACAAAGATTCAACTAACTCCAACTACAATGTTAATTTTAAATAAAGATTTCAAGTACGAGCTTACCGGGAGACGTTATCAAGGTGCCACACTTATTTGAGTATTTTAAGTTCAGCTCTTAACAGGTAAGTTCACTACCACCTGTACATGTTTGTTCAACTAAGTAAAATGAGGAAGTCTTGTTGATTTTTAATAGATGATTTTAGTCTATTTGCTATTATGTGAACTTGGTGAGTTATTTGCTGAGTTATTTTATTTGCTGTATTAAGTTATGATTATTATCTGGCATAGTCAAGAGTTTGTCAGTATTTTTATTTTCTGATTTAATGATTTTTTTTATCCAAACGTCACTATAAAAAAGAACTAATACTTAAAGTGAAAGATTAAGTGATATGTACTCGGGAACAAGTTCCCACAGAGTTACAGAGTTATCAGTTATCAGTTTTAGAGAGTCCGATATGTTTAGTGGGTCGCTCCCCTGAGCTGTCGGATTGGCGCCTTTGAGTACATATCACGGGCCCACAGAGTAAAATTAGCCACAAAGAGTTTTACAGAAAGTTTAATGAGATCTCATTCAGAAAGTTTTACAAAAAGTTGTTTATGAGATCTCTTTCAAAAAGTTTTACAGAGATGTTTTGAGAAAGAAATTTTGAGATCTCTCTAGCAGTTTTGAGAAATTATTTTAGAAAATATTTTCTTTTGAGATCTCACACAGAATGTATTTGAGAAGTTATGTGTTAGTTATTTGTTCAGTGCATGCTTATAGTCTAAATTTATCTATTGATAAATTGGCCTAGACTTCTAGATATTTTTGTGGAGCCATAGTGACTTACTAAGCGTAAAGCTTATCAGTTTCTTTCTTCGCATGTACAGATACTAAGGGTAAGGCCAAGGCCTAGGAAGATGACGAGGGAGTGGAACGCGTGCCAAGATGAGTTAACGGGAACGACCTTGACGGCTTCTAGATAGTTATTATTTTGTTTCAGTATTTCAGTTGCTATAATAAAGAGATTATTTTTACTTTATTTTATTTAAGGATTTGAAGTTTGAATAAATTCCTGGATCCAGGTGGTTATCACATTTGCTGGTGATAACTAGATTTTATTAAGTTTTATTTGGAGTTGCTTTAGTTACTTTTGAGATTTTATCAGGGTTAGTTTCTTAAATAGACGGCCGTTATATTGCAGTTATTTTTAAAAGTAGTAAGTTAGTGTAATGCTTCCTTTAACCTTGAGAGGGGCGTTACATGTAGTGTATTTTTTTGTAGCTGCTTTGCAAAAATACACTACACAAAAACGTACAGCACTTGTTTCTAGCTAAAAAAAGACTTCAGCCTTCTCCGAAAAATCCTTCTGTGTTCACAACTTTGTTCTCGTTCGTTGGAACCATAGTTTGAGTGCTAAACTATTGTTCGAATCCATCGTATCCTGGGAAACGATCGTTGCAACGCTCCTAGCACCCCGGGAGGCAACGAATACGTTTTAAGGAAATCGTGCGTAGCACGAGCTTTGGCTTATTCTGCTTCATCTCATTTCTTGTTTTTCTTTAAGTCATTTTATTTAATTAATTTTTATTAATTATTTTTCTTAGTTTTTCGAAACACACCCAACAAATTGTTTGTCCTGAAGGTGACTGGTATTCTTGACAAAGTTCTTAAAATTTGCAAGAGACCATGAGTCACCATTAGTGAAGATAAATAAATCATCAACAAACCCTAGATGACTGATAAGATACCTTTACTCCGCAACCATAATGGATTAATAATCCCCTGCTCCATTCGAGTGTTTAAACTTCTTGAGAAACCTTCAGAAGCTATGATGAATAGAAATGGGGGTATAAGATCAACTTGTTTCACCCCCCCCCCCCCCCCCCTTGGGTTGAAACCCCTCTGGGGACTCCCATTGATCAAAATGGATAAGTAAGTGGACTGAAGATTATTACTAATAAGAGATACAAACTTATTAAAGAATCCAAACCTAGCCAGTACCTCAAACAATTAATTCCAAGAAAGTTTATCAAACGCTTTGGCCATATCCAACTTGATAACCACATTTGACCTGTGGCTTTCTTATCTATAACATGAACCATTTCATGGGCAATTAAAACTTGATCAGAGATATCTCTACCTTTAGCAAAACCTGTTTGTTCCACATAGATGATTTTAGGCAGTAACTTTACTAATCTAGAAGCCAACACCTTGCTACATATTTTATTAGTAAAGTTTGAAAGACAAATGGGCCTAAAATATTAGAAGGATGAGGGGATATCTGCTTTGGGGATTAGACAATGAGAGAGCTTGAAAAACCTTTAGGAGGAGGTATCCCAATGAAGTATTCCTAAACGGCATTAACAACATCAACCCCAACTATATGGCAATATTTTCTATAAAATTTTCCAGTGAACCCATCAGGACCAAGAACCCCAATCTAATTTAAATCCCAATAAGCAACCTTAACTCCCTCTTCTAATGGTATTGCTATAAGAAAATCATTGTCCTCTTGAGTGACGAGTTCTAGAATACTCTTCAAAATGTCATTATTTGTGGTTACAGGCTCAACTGCATACAGATCTGAAAAGAAATAAACAGCTGCAGATCCTATCTCAGGTAAGGTTGATAATTCCCTCCCCTCAGAATCTTGAATCAAGTTAATCATCTGCTTTTTTCTTTTGATTTTCACACAAGAATGAAAATAATGAGAGTTACTGTCACCATCTTTAAGCAATTTGACATGTGCTTTTTGCTTCCAAAATTTTCTCTCCAATCTGTATTTATTCAAAAGTAAAGCTTTCTTGAACTGCCAATTTTCTCTATTAGCATCAGCAGATGAATTTATAAAGTCCTGCTCAACCTTAGCTACCTCATGCTAAATGAATTTGATGTCATCAAAAAAATTACCAAAGATTTCCTTGTTCCACTTCCTCAGATCCTTTTTTAAGACCGTGTAACTTGATAAATACATGTCTCCTCCAGAAAAGCTTCCATTCCATCTTTGAGAAACAGTATTTAAGAAAGAATTATGTGATAATCACATATTTTGGAATCTAAATGGTTTTTACCGAGACTAATGATGATTATTGCACTGAATCAACATAGGACAATGGCCAGATGGGGCCTGATTAAGATTAGTTAGTGTAATATGATCAAAAGAATCAAGGAAAGATTCATTAAATAGGCATCTGTCCAGACACCTCCATAACCTCCCTCTAGATCTTACCCCTGTCCAGGTATATCGATAACCAGAATAGGGCATGTCAATTAGATTACAGTGTGAAACACATTCAATTAAATTTGAAAATGCACATTTAATCAATTTATGACTGACACTCGTTTCCTAATACACTTTTTCAAAGTACTACATTTATTCTAGTATTATATACATCTTTTTGAGCCAAATGATTTTGTTCAACCAAATCGAATCAAACAAAAGAAATAGTATTTTGATTTGGTTTGAGTTTACTAAAGTAAACTAATTGCTAATAATATGCTCAAATTGTAAATCAAATTGTTTGATGATGACAATAACACATTGCATTATATAAAGATTAGTTAAGCAATAGTGCATGAATCATTTGAACACAAACACGAATTTTACAATTACTGAATTACCTACTTATTTAATTTTCTTTGAATATTTTAATTATGTGATACAGTGTATTATTATATGCATTATTTGATAATCAATTATATACTTATCATATGAGAGAACGAGTTTTTTACTTTTTTAGTAGTGATTGAGAAGAAGCTAGATTTTGCAAAGCATCAGTCTAATAAAACAAATTATATGTTATTTTATAATAGTTGATTGTTATTAATCTTTTATTTCCCTTCATATTGTATTTGAATAATAAATATAACAAAGTGAACTGGACTACTATTTTCATTTCCTATTTCTAAAACATAGAACTTGATTACATTTGGAGTAATGCAAATTACATTTCCATTGACGTGAGTTATAATTCTATACACGTGATTTATACTATCTATACTCTTTGTTAGACACAAAATATAATCATGATATTAAAAGGATTAAATTTCTTGACAAAGTGTACAAATAGAATTATATTTGTTTCTTTGAAGGAAGCGGTTAAGCTCAACTAGTCACCAATTCATTCTCTTATGAAAAGTCCCAAATTTTTATCATAGACTCCCCAACACCCTTCCCATGATCCGAGGGTAAAAAAAGATTCATGATGAGTTGTTCTGTCCAAGAAAATGGCCCAATTTTATGACGGATAATAAAACAACCTTGCTATAGATACTCCAATTTAACCCCCAACCTATTTTTGTGGCTCACAAAAGTTCACCTCAATAAATAAATTGTCTCACAGAGATACTTTTGTGAGTCACAAAAATAGGGTGAGGTACAAATTGTCAGCCACCACGTTGAGGTTCCAAGTCCGATGAATGTCTGATCAGAAAATTGTCACTCCCAAGTCCTTCAACCCCTTCTCTTCACCTCGTCCATGGCCGATCACGATCACAGTGATGAACACCACCACCACCATCACCGCCCACACCGCCTATCACTCCCACCGCGCACCACCGATGCCACCAGTACTGTAAGAACCCCCCTCTATCCCCCTGCAACACCCATCCCCACCCCCTCCAAAAACCGGGTCTCTGCTACTCCCTTCAAATCTTTTTCTTCCACCACCAAGACTTCATCCTTCTCCTTCCTTTTTCTTCTCCTCTTCTCCCTCCGTTCTCTCTACTCTCTTCTCCCTTTCCTCCGTTCCTCGCCGTCCTCTTTTTCTATCTTCCCGTTCTCCTTCCTCGTCTCCCTCTTCTCGTTCCTTCTCACTCTGTTCTTTTCTATCTTCACCTCAGCTTATTCTTCTTCTGCTTCCTCTTCTAGAGACCCTTTCCGCCAAAAGCATCGCCAGCCCATTTTCGCCCTCACCTCGTTGACTCAATCTCAACACAAGCTTCTTTTAGCCAAGTCCGTCCTTCAGGCTGTGATATTCCTTCTCAGATTCCAAGCTCTCAGATATTGCGGCACCGCAGCAATGATTCTGGCGGAATTATCCGGAAATGTGGCTGCGCGATCCATTGCGGGTGGAAGAAAAAATCGAAAGTTTGCTGATTTGAACAAGGTTGGATCATCTAAAATTGGTGGATTTATAGCTTTGTTCTTAGGTCTACTCTTTTTATCTGTAAGCTGGGACAGAATCGAATGTTTTCCTTTATCTTCAGTGAATGTTAGTAAGCTAGGAAGTTCTGTACTGGCTAGTGGGAATTGTGTTAGGGTTTGGCCTATGTTGCTCCCCTTCTTTTCCGGATTTTTGGGATGCTACGAAGGGATTTCAATGAACCCTGCATCTATAAGGGAAATCGGGCAAAAACAGGTTCGATTGATATCATTGTTCTACACAACAGTTTTGCTTTTCATACCTGCTGCTGTTAGTATGGTTGTTTTTGAAGCAGACGGTGAGAATGTATCTTTATCTAATCTTGGTTGGCCATTGGTTAATACAGTTCTGTTTGGAGTGCTTTTGAGTGAGAACAGCGCAGATGAGAAACCAATGGCATCAAAAGACTTTCAGAGAGAGTATGAAGTCACTTATGTGTGTACTCTTATCTTGGAATTGTTTTATTTTCCAGAACTATCACTCTGGGGATTGTTGATATGTGGATTCTTGATCTGGATAGCTGTTAGAAATTTAGATCCTGTTTATTCTAATTATCCTGAGTTAGGTTTGCAATCATCTGAATCATTAGACATTTCTGTTATGAACCCCCTTCGCCACATCTTGAGTGAAAGAAAGTCAAGAAAGATTGCTCTTTTCCTCTTGATCAACACAGCATACATGGTTGTGGAATTCATTGCAGGGTTTATGAGTAATAGTCTTGGTTTGATATCAGACGCTAGTCACATGTTGTTTGACTGTGCTGCCCTTGCCATTGGACTATATGCATCTTACATATCCCGGTTGCCAGCTAATGTCCAGTTTAACTATGGTCGAGGGCGGTTTGAGGTACTCTCTGGATATGTCAATGCTGTTTTCTTGGTACTAGTTGGAGCTTTGATTGTTCTTGAATCATTTGAGAGGATTTTAGACCCTCAGGAGATTTCTACTAACAGTCTGTTGACTGTGTCTGTTGGCGGGCTTCTTGTTAACGTGGTCGGCTTGATTTTCTTTCATGAGGAACATCATCATGCCCATGGTGGGTCTGGATCATGTGCACATTCCCATTCCCACCATCATTCACATGATGATAAGGAAGACCACAGCACTGTTGTCCAACACTGCCATGAGCAATCATGCTCTAGCCACGATAACCATGAAAACTTTGACTTAGGGCATGTTTCGATCTTGGATAATGATAGGGAAAGGAGAGGAACTGGTGCATGTTCCCATTCCCACCATCATTTGCATGATGATAAGGAAGAACACATCACCGTTCTCCACCACTGCCATGAGCAATCATGTTCTAGCCATGATAACCATGTAAACATTGACTTGGGGTATGTTTTGATCTTGGGAAATGATAGGGGAAGCAGAGAAACTGATATGAATATCTATTTTCTCACGTGTTTACATTGGAAAATAGAAAAAGAAAAATGAAATGTGATTATTTGTGCATATTTTACATTTATTGAAGCATCAATTTTTTCTTAATATGGTTTCTTCTTAAAATATTATTAATATGAAACTTATGGACACAAATATGACTATATAGTCACTGCGAACATAGTCACTATTTTTATAGCAAAAGTAGCACTATAGTGAAATTGAATGTGTTCATGTTCACTACTATCTTTGCAGAAATACCACCAGTCACATGATGTAAAACTATCATTTTTATTCATGACTTTTATTTAGTGATATACTTGTCATTATTTCTGCCATAATATGATAGAAATAAATAAATGAAATAAGTCAGACGTTGTCCTTTATTTTCCCTCTAACTTTCCTTTTTATTTTCTTTCCCTAGAATTAGTCAGGTTCCAAATGGACCCTTAAAGAGTGCAGAAAAAGAGAAGCCTCACCATCATGACCACCACCACCACATTGACCATAACATGGAAGGCATATTTTTGCACGTGCTAGCGGACACGATGGGGAGTGTGGGGGTGGTTATTTCAACACTATTGATTAAATACAAAGGGTGGCTTGTTGCGGACCCCGCCTGCTCGATATTTATATCAATATTGATAGTTTCTTCAGTTATCCCGCTGCTGAGAAACTCAGCAGAAATTCTGCTGCAACGAGTTCCCAGAGGTCATGAGGGTCACTTGAAGGAAGCTATAGGCAATGTTAGGAAGATGGAAGGTGTGTGCGGCATCCAGAGCCTGCATGTTTGGAGCTTCACAAACACTGACATTGTTGGCACTGTCCACCTTCACGTCTCAAATGACACCGACAAGATTGCTGCAAAGAATAAAGCATCAGATTTGTTACACGATGCTGGTATAAAAGACTTGACCATCGAGGTTGAATGCATCAAAGGGTAGCTAAACAGAACTGTGTGTGTTTAATGGAAACATTCTTTGCTTCCACCATCTCTATTTAAGTCAGACAAATAGGATAAAATATGTTGTAGAATTTTGTAATCAAAGTGTAATGAACATGAAGTTAGTTGGATTCTTCGAGACAAACAAGTTTTTGTTAATCACAGAAGTTTCACTGTGTCTTAAGGGTTTATAGGTAATCAAGAAAATTCCATAGGAAGCAGAAAATGGGCCAACCTTCAGGAGATGGTGGGAGAGCAATGCAAATTGCAGTTTGAGGAGTGTCATGACTCTTATTTGGATGGTTTAATGGTGTTTGACTGGGAAATGATGGATGCCATTAATTGGTCTGGCAAATAATAGGAACTTTGAAGAACTTCAAGATTCATGTTCTTCATTTCTTGATGTCATTGTTCATTTGTTCATAATGTCAAGGCTTTTTATCAACTGAACAATTCTTATTGATGTTTCTTGATAAAGTTATTAGCCACTTGGCGATTAGCTTTGCAGAAATATTCACCCTCCAAAGAGAGGTGGGATTACCAATCTCACTAGGGATGGACTGGGTCAGGGCGGCCCGACCTGGTACTGTTAAGGCCCGGCCCGGTCTGGCCCGTTACTATTTAGGCGCGGTGCGGCCTGGCCTGATCGAGTACACCCTACATCTCATGAGGCTGCTAGTGGTAATCGGGTATTCGGGTTACGTTGTCTATCATTGATGATGTAGAACAGTTGCACAACGATAATTGTAATTGTCACTATACACATCATTGGTGAACAGTGTTACTATACAAGAAGCTTAGTTGGAACCAATTATATATATATATATATATATATATATATATATATATATATATATATATATATATATATATATATAGAGTCCCGTTCTTGTCCAGCCGGCCTGACGGGAACCGCCGTCCGGCCGAGGGCATTTCGGGCACTTCCCGATCGAATTTTTTGATGAATTTTTTTGAGCAAGTTCTTCGTCAAGTCTAGTTATACAAACCAAATTTCAGCTCAAAATTCGATCGGGAAGGCATTCAAATAATTTTTTGAAGTTGACTGCGTCAAAGTATACATATAAAAACCCAGTCAACTTCAAAAAATTATTTGAATGCCTTGCCGATCGAATTTTGAGATGAAATTTGGTATGGATAAACTAGACTTCATGAAGAACATGCTCAAAAAATTTCATCAAAAAATTCTACCGGAAAGTGCCCTAAATGCCCTCGGCCGGACGGTGGTTCCCGTCAGGCCGGCTGGACACGAAGATTTGTCTATATATATATATATATATATATATATATATATATATATATATATATATATATATATATATATATATATATATATATTCGGTCCTGATACAGCTTAAATGAACGTTTTGGATCCGTTTTTTGAGTCTTTGACAGTTGATCAGGTTTTTAAATTGTTTACACAAACTATTTGGGACATTAGTTTTCTTCTCGTTGTGGCTGTCTCTAAGAGCATCTCCAATGGACGCACCGTTCACATTAAAAAAATATGCATGTCACGTTGTCTAGCTTATGGGCAAGAATTTGGTCCCCAACACATGAATGTATAGATGAGTAGAATGTTGACATGTTCAATTTTAATGTAAACACTCTAAATATTATTGTGCTATGATAACCGTGTCTTTTCACATGTCGAGTCAGCCAATTTGGGGCAGATAAAACCGATTAAAATGCTACCCCGCCTATAAAATTATCAGTATATATGTTCAAGTAATATGTGGGAAAACAAACTTTCCCAGTGTCGTACACTCTCACTCTCACCTCATTTTTTATTCTCTTTGAGCGAAACTTCGTAGGTATTCAAGCCACCATATCTCTCTTCAAAAAATTTAATTTTTGGGAAGTACATAGATTTTTTCTATTTCCACAAATTTCCTATTTTAAATTTATTTCAATGTAATATATTTCAAGCTACATCCTCTCTGTATTGGTACCACTTTTTTTAAGTTTAATGAAGTTGTCTACATATGCGGTGAGTAGGTGATATGTGCTCATGTATTGGGGAGTTGTTTCAGTTTTCTTTTTTTTTTTCTTT